CCCCCCCCCCTCCCCCTGCTGCATGCGGCTGGGGGGCCCCCCCGCCGCCCCCTGTTGTCTGTGGGTGTGGCTGTGGGGGCGGGGGCCCCAGCCCCGCACATACCTGATCTATTGCATCCGCGAGGCCCTCTGGGTCGCTGCTGCTGTTCAGCAGGTGCTGCATCGTCAGCTGTCTCTGCGCGTGCTGCTGCTGCTGCTCCACCACATGCAAATCCTCCAGGTATTTCAGGCCCTCCTGCAGCAGCGCAACAGCAGCAGCAGAGCTAGGCTGCCTGCTGCTGGGGGCCCCCCCTGTGGGGGGCCCCCCTGGGGGGGCCCCCCCCACTGGGGGGGCCCCCGCAGGGGGGGCCCCCATTGGGGGGGGGCCCCCACCCCCTACTATACCCCGAAGGTCTACTCCTGTTGTGCCTGTGTGGAGACAGTCGCTGGCGTGGCTGTCTCCTCTGGTTTGTCTCTCTAACCACCGCAGCAGGAATGCAGCACCCAGGGCCTGAGAAAAAGGAGACAGATAGAGAAGAGAAGAAACCCTAAACCCTAAACCCTAAACCCTAAACCCTAAAAAGAAGAAACCCTAAACCCTAAACCCTAAACCCTAAAACATAAAAACCTAAACCCTAGGATGTAAACGCTAAAACCACAAAACCCTGAACGTTAAACCCCAAACCCTAAACCCTAAACCCGAAAACCCTAAACCCTAAACCCTAAACCCTAGATGTATTTGTGTCTGACATCTCTGCGTAGTTTATCGGCTATCTTCCATGCCCATGTGTTTAGTGTTGGGGTGTCTCCGTTTGTCTCCTTTGCTGCTGCTGCTGCTGCTGCAGCAGCAGCAGGAGCAGCAGCGTCAGCTCCTTTCGTGCCGAGTTCAGCAGCAACGGAGACAGCAGCAGCAGCAGCAGCAGCAGCAGCAGCATTTCTGTTTCCAGCCCAGACAGCATGCAGCAGCGGCAGCAGCAGCACGCGCCCCTGTATCCATTCCTCCCCCACAGCAGCAACACACCCCACAACCCTGGGGCTGCAGACAGCGAGAGGAGACGCTGCTGTCTCCGGCTTGGAGACAGCCATCAGGCTGCTGATGTCTTTGCTGCTAGGCAGCAGCAGCTGTCTCCTTGTGTACCCGTTCAGCACACACAAACTCCTGCTGCTGCTCAGCCCCTCCTCTCGCATATAATATAATAAAGGGGCCCCACACCCTACACCTTTGTATCTCTCTGCCTGCAGTTATACACACACACACTATATATATATATATATATATATATATA